TAATAAAGCGACAAAAACGTGGTCTCGTCGCTGAAACCGTTCAGCGACACGGAATCAGCGACAAAACTAACAACGTAAACGTTTCATCACTAAAATCCGTCAGCAACGAAATTTAGGCTTCAGTGACGTAAACGTTTCGTCACTGAAATCCATCAAAGACGAAATTGAGGCTTCAGTGACGAAAATTTTTCGTCGCTGAATGTCTAGAATTTTGTAGTGTTCAAAAACATAAATAGAAATAATATTATTTATCATTCTTAAATCTACATACGTCAGCCAATTTTAATTTTGAAGAAATACAAATAAGAGATAAAAATGTCACCAATAGACTCTTTAACCTTGATTTTTTAAGTCCTAACTCGCAAGTTTTGGAAAACTCCCTCGCCCGCAACAATTGATATATTGTGCTTCTACTCCTTTGGCTCGAATGTAAATTTGTCTCTCTGTAAAATTCAAAATGCATGATCTTAAGCAAACATATTTATTAAATTAAAAAAAATTATCCTTTGATGATAAAATCTGACTATAAAATTTTAAAATTTAAATTAAATCCGGGAAAAAATACATTTTCGATTACCAAGACCTTAGCTCAACGATAATGGTAACGGTAATGGTTCTTGAAGTTTTAAAATTGACACTTTTTATATTTAAAATTTGAGAAATAGTTGTCTCCCTAAGCAGCATTTTAAATTTGTGATTAGACCAAATATATTAATTTGATAATATTCTTTTGAAATGTAAATGATTCAACTTGTTTTTTTTTTTATTACAAATTATCCCCCCTACGCCCTCTAGCAAGCTTTGAAAAGAAAAACAAAGCAGAAAGAAAAGGCGAGAAGTCCCATCTTTCAAAAATATATTATTAAATTAATATATTTTACTCCGTAGCAATTTAAATACCATTTCATTTTAATATTAGTCAACTAAAAATAATTAATCATTTAAAATGATTTGAATTAAAAGTGTTCATTTCGAAATTCCAAGATTCAAAGGATACCTACTCGTAGTGGAATGGACAAAAATGGACAAAAATTAGATTTTTTTCTAGGGTTTTAAACATTTGATGATTTTTTAACACAACAGGAATAAGAGCATGTGAACACAGTAAAATAAAGTGAATTTGGTCAAATAGAAAATAAAAAATCGTGGGGTGGGTCTATAGAATACATTTTAGACCATTATAATTTTATCTAAATTTTTTATTTCTTCGAATCATCTATTGTCATGTTAGAATTGTCACCCACAGAAAAATCAAATTAACTAGTATGTCACAGTTGACCAACATGATTATTTTCTAAGAACATAATTAAAAATTTTAAGTTTATAAATTAAATCTATATATATATATATATATAGACTCGTCTTATCAATTAAAAATGGAACATTGAACCTGTCAACCACCCGAAAGTTTGTTGAATGAATCATTATATTTTGTAAAAACGTAAAATAAAATTTTATAATGTTCATTTTCTTTCTAACGTGGAATTCTTAACACGTCTTCGGTTTGAGTTTATAGCTCAGATATCATATCAATATTCATGGAGTTCTATCTCAAGACCAATTGATATGAAAGGAGTACTCCATGTTTATTATAAACCTTTATAACGTTCATTTTATTTTCAATGTGGAATCTTTAAATACATTAGGTAGGATTATTTGAATCCGAACTCCAATGTCAAATTTTCTAATGAATACTTCCACACACAAGATATCTATACGCCAGAATGGTGCTAAGTCTAACAGATTCTAATGTCAAAATCAGATAAAAAATTTAATTGAGAGTAGCAAAGAACGTAGAGTTGTCTAGCTAGAACATACCTTGCGTTCTAGATCTCTGCTCTTATTTATACAAAGAGAGTGTCCTCAAGTTGGTTCGAGTGTACTAGCTCGACCTTGTCGTGTTGGGTTTGATCTGATTGGAGAACTTAGTATTATAATTTCACCCATAACAACATCCATCTTCAAGAGATAAACTTTAGATTTCCCAAGTGAACAAGAATAGCAAATGTTAATTTGTTGTTGTTGTTAGATACACATAAATGTATTAAATTTATCCTAATTCATCCATTTAAGCTTTTAGATTTATTGGTAGTATTAATCATCTTTGTTTATGTAAGAACTTGCACAAGGTTTGACCTAGTCAAAATCGAACTCGGAAACTAGGAATCTCGAACCTCTTGGAACTAACCTGCACAAGAGGGCACGGACTAACCTGCACAAGAGGGCAAAAACTTCGACGCTCAAATCAGTAAGCTATTCGTTCTTAATAAGAAGTTCGAGAAGAAATTCGATACCTGCGGTAAGAATGAGGCCCTCTATTTATAAGTACGGGTCTGACAGATCTCATGACCAGCGGTTACTCTTGTCGTTTTGCAGATCAAACCTCTCGGGCTACTTCAGTCGAACCCGAGCAGGTTGAACCATTCAACAAGTATGGAAATGAATTTAAGTGACTAAGTCTCTCACCTCGGTAGGTCCGAGGTGGAGCTGTCAATTTGAATTATTCGGCTCTGGACGAATTAATGTCTTCCACGTGTTACGACTATTTCCCTTCCAAACAATGTTTAATGTGTATTCGAGTAGGAGATAATTTTGCTTGTTGAAGTGTCTTGTGCAAATTTACGAGCCAACGTGTTCTTTCATTGACCTAACCTAATTAATGAATTTATAAGTCAACGATTAGAAAGGTCCACAACTTGTCCTTTTTTTCCAAATATCAATTAGTCTTTTAATCAAATCCTTTTGTGGAATAATAATGAACCTTCAAAGAGGGACAAAAGTCCAAATAATTTGTAGTTATAAATCTTCCTTCTATTTCTTCAAGTTCTTCATCTTCACTTCCATTATTTCATCCCATTTTCTCTCCTAACCCAAAAAAAGAAAAACCATGGATGTAGAACTCCAAAAGATGCAAGTTCTTGGAATCTGTGGAATTTTTCAAGAAACCGGCAAATTAATCCACAAATGGAAAAAAATCTTCGCCCAAATCACTCTCGCCTTCATTCTTCCTCTCTCTCTCTTAGTCTTAGCCTATTCCGAAATATCCAATTTCTTCATCACAAAGATCACCCACGACCAACAATTCTTAAACAACACCCAAAAATCCACCCCCCAATTCCTTAAACTATCCCACCTCGTATCCTCCGATAGAATCCATTACTACCTCATCAGCATCGCTTACTTCATCTTCTCCACCACCTTCTCCCTCCTCGCCACCTCCGCCGTCATCTACGCCGTCGCCTCCATCTACAGCGCAGCACCTGACATCTCATTCAAGCACGTGATCGCCGCCGTCCCCAGGGCATGGAAGCGGCTTCTCCTCACCTTCCTTTGCTTCATAGCCGCTATCTTGATCTTCAACTTCTTTGCCGCTTTTATCATCACTTTCCTCACGATCATCGCTCTCGTAATCTACGAACCGAGCGAATTCAGCTTCGGAATCGGCAGTGCAATGATTGTTGCCGTCTTCACCATCTTATACATGACGGCGTTATGGTACTTGGTGATGATATGGAAAATGGCGAATGTCGTTTCCGTTTTGGAAGAGTCGTCGAGCGGGTTCAGAGCCATGGCCAGAGCCAAGGCGCTGCTGAAAGGGAAGATGGTGGTGGCGACGGTTCTTTTTCTGTCGTTG